GCTGCATGGGGAGGCCCCGAGGCTGCCACTGATGGGGCTGCTTGGCTCATTCCAGCACTGCTGCGTCTGCGGCCAGAGCGGGGCCACCATCCTGTGCTGCAAAGAAGGCTGCGACAGATGGTTCCACCTGCCCTGTGCCAAGGAGGGCGGCTGTGTGACACAGTACATTGTTCCATTTAGGTAGCTCCTCTCCCCTTCTGGCCACCCCCAGGGAAGGACCAAGTCTTTCTCATTATGCCCATCCCTTTGCCCCCAGGGCCTACTGCCCTGAGCACCGTCCAAAGCAGGACGTGCAGGTGACTCCAGAGCCGGGCACCGAATGCCCCATCTGCATGGAGCCAGTGGAGGACAGGAAGACGTTCAACACCATCGTGTGCCCGGCGTGCAAAAGAGCCTGGTTCCACAGGGACTGCCTCCAGGTGGGAGCCATGCCCTCAGGCCTGGGACACAGCAGGTGCTCAGCAGCATTCGTCCTTCTGCTGCCCCCTCTGCAGAGACCGTGAGACATTCCTTGTCGAAGTGTTCTTTCTGGGGATCCGAACCCCCATTAGGTTGGTGTCCTTCAGTGTGACTCACAAGACGGGGTGTAAGTGCCATACTGTGCCAGGCCCTGCCCCAATAGTCCAAGACAGCCCTATCCAGGGAGTCTGGATTTCTGCCCCTCAGGGGACATGGAAAAGCATTGGAGGAAGTACAGGGACACCCTGTTACCTCCATGGGGTCAGGGCAGCAGAAACACATCAGCTTTTCCTTTCTCCGTCAGACTGCCAACATGGGAGGACAACAATGCCTTTGCAGATCTAGGAGAGAGGCACAACACGTGCAATGCCAGGGAATGCCTTTACCCAGGAGGCAGGGAGGAGGCAGAGGAAGAGGGGTGAGTTGGGAAGCTGCACCCGGGGCTCTGCAGGGAACCTGTGTCTCGGGAAGGGCTCAAAGCAGAAGGAGCCAGTGGTGCTGGGCTGCACAATCCCGTGCTGGGACACTTTGTCTTCAGAGCCATCAACCCGTTTGCTTCCGCAGGCCCTGGAAGCTGCTCCTGTGCTCCTCCTGTGCTGCCGAGGGCACCCACAGGCGCTGCTCTGGCCTGACAGTGAGGACAACCCACTGGGAGTGTGACAGCTGTGCTGGTCTCGGCACGGGTATGAGGCAAAGCAGGCGGGTGTCCCTGGGCTGGGGCCAGTGCCCAGGCTGGGCACGGCAAAGCGCATGGGCTCCTGGAGGGCTGGGGGCAGTGCTCTGGTCGGGCATGGCCTGGTCCAGGCCTGGCAGGCCTCTGACATTCCTGTTTGGCCTTACAG